GACTTGGAAACCCTGACAAGAGAATTGGATGACAAAGTCCGATTTGGTCAGAAAGCGGTGGAAAGGCCAGGCTCTAGGCATGGTTCTAGACCAGGTTCTGGAGCTGGGAGATTTACTAACTATCCAGAGAGACCACCTTCTCAGTCTGGATCTTTTGATAATGGCCGAGTTCCAGAAGTGATGGACAGGCCCCGGTCACGCGGAACAGGAGATGTATGGACAAGGCCTGGTGAAGATAGAAGAGGAGGTTTCCAAGGTGGCAGAGATAGAGGAGGATTCCTGGGCAATAGAGACTTTGACAGGTAATATTATCTTGGAATTGTCAGTAACACCCTATGATCGTTTAATGTCTGGTGAAGTTAGATGCCTCTTTTCTGTTGATTTTCTATCTCTTTAAATGATTTTCATGGGATTATGCTTATGCTTTAAATGCTTTTCTTTATGCTTGTAAAACAAGTGGGTTCTGAAGGTACATTGACCCCAGATATGACTGATTTTCTTTCCATAACTAATTCTGTGTTTTTGAGGTAATTGTGTGCATGTTGCTCTTTAAATTAGCTTGCAATTATTAGTTGAGATGTCTAGTGAGATGCCTTTCTGCGGTTGGTTGTCTCTCTTGGTATGATTCAGGCCAGCCTACCCTTATTGCTTTTGAAACAAAACATATTGACCCTGCTTTTTAAACTTTTTCAATTGAATAACTCATAAAATTATATTTCCACATTTCTATGCGGTACCTGAAATCTCGTGGTTAGGTTCAGGCTGGCCTATTCCAATTGCGCAACAAGCATAAGACAACAATTAGCTAGGAATTTAACACACTGGAACCTGCTTGTACCAAAACATATGCACTAGTACGAGGGCAAGGTTAGACCTTACAATTGCGCAACTTGCTGCTTTCTTACACTGGGGAAACTATCAGCTTGCAACCTGGTGCTGAACTTACTTTTAGCAAATGTTAGGGAATGTTATAATTTTCAAGCAGCTATTTGTATCTCATCTGGCTGCTGGTACCTTCTAGCTAACGATCACATTGCCTCATTCCCAACTAGCCATGACCTTGCGCCGTTTGAAAAAGCATTGTTTTCTATCAGGTCATGTCATTGCCTTTTTGTATTAGCATTTTAACGGAACAAAAGTCCTGGCTTCCCTTGGAATAATCCTATACTGCCCTACAATGTATGCCTCGTATGAGCTCTTCCATGTTCTGATATTTTAGAGGCTGTACTAGCACCTATCAGAAACTTGATTGAAAAAGCATTAATTGCCTTTCTAATAAGATACTTATTCATTTATTATTCGAAGCTGCAGTTCTCTAGATTGTCCTGTTAGAGTATGATGAGCAAATCTCGAGGGGCCTTTTCTTAACATTTGTGGGGGAGTTAGATGTTCATTTGCCATGTGCGTGCCCGTGCTCTTGGAGGGGGACTCTGTGGTTTTAGGATTTTAGGTTATGATAGATTAAAAAAAAAAATTATTATCTGCGTTCTGTTCTAAAGGTCAAAGTTAATTTATTCACAGTAATGATTACTGATTTTTCACTTTGGTGACCATGATCAAGAATGTTTTAGCTGTTGTTTTTTGTTTTCTTTTTTCCCTAATTCATTGTGATTATATTGACTCTGGAGGCTGATAGGTGCATTGATTTTGTCTTTTGGCAGGTCTACGTCTAGAGAGAGATGGTGAATCATTTTTTTTTTTTGGGGTTTCAAGACACTCAGTGTGGATTCTTCAGAGCTCTCCTTTGACAGCATTCGGCAAGCAATGGATAATAATATTTTGTTTAAATTTGTTCAGGTCTTTGTCAATTATTCTACGGCTTAGCACTGGCGCTGATGACTCTTGTTAATTAACTGTTAATTTTGATACCTTGTAAAATTGCCATTTTTTTTTGGTCTGTATCGAGGCAAGGATCTTGTGTTGTTCTTAGACTGACATGTAATGGAACATTATGTTATATTCTTCTGGTCCTTTCCTTAAAGACTGTTTTAGGCTTCATTGGCCTTTTTTGCTTTATTCATACGTGAATTTTGAGGTGTTGTTAAGTTGTTTGAATGGCATCATTGACTGAACTTGTACATAGTATAGTTAGATTGTAAAATGTAAGCGTTATGGTTATGTTGGGAGTCTTTTTACTTATTTTTGTTGAATGTCAAAATGTGTTAATGTACATCAGTACATAACAGGTATTTGCATGGATTTTGTATCCCCCATCCCCCTGAACAATTTCACATCTTTTCTGTTGTGTATATATGCGTATTTTTTCCAGTTTCTGCCAGTGCAAGTAAAACTTTCTTTGATCTAACAACGGACGCAATTGTCATTCTGTTATTGTACACTTTTCTGTACGATCCTGTGCATTGGAAATCATTTGACGATCAGAGTTGCCTTCTGTTCATCTGTTGTAATCAAATGTATTCACTAAAAGCTTCTTGCTTTCCAGTTTTCTTATTAGTTTCTGTCTTTGTCAAGACATAAGATTGAACAGCCATCGAATTTTAAATGTTTTATGTAGGTTTATCTGATGGAAAACGTGTATTATGCTTTTGACTTTTTTAACACAATGTTTTGAGTCTGAAATTTTCATCTGGATAGATTACTTCCATCTAGTTCATCCCTGAGTACTACTTATTTGTTGAAACAATGAATTGGTGTAATTTTGTTACCGGAAGTTGCCTATTTGTGTTAGCTTTGGGGATAGTTTTAAATGGTGTACCACCCCTTACACCTCTAAGTAAAGAATGTCGAATTCCTGCAATTTACAACTTTGGTGACTCGAATTCTGATACTGGTTCTAACTCTGCTGCATTTGGTCGCGAACCTTACCCAAATGGAATTACTTTCTTTGGCAGACCTGCTGGAAGAGTCTGTGATGGGCGCTTAATCATTGATTTTATTGGTAAGCTTCTACCCAAGTGTCTCCCCCCCCCCCCTCTTTATATATCAGGGCTTCATAATTTATTTTACTATTTTACTTTGACACTCTTGACTCTTATATGTATATTAATTTAAGTACCTATGTTAAACACTAACTAACAAGGTATACTTTGAGTCTTCGATTGTTCACCGAGACTAAGGTGTGTGTTATGTGCTCAATATTCCAATTGTTTGTTGGTAATGTGAAAAAGCATGCAACAAAACAATGTGCTTCTATTGGGTCCTTGAGTCTAAAACTGTGAGCTGTGAACCTCAGTGTGTTTGACACTACTCGTTCTTATGTCTGAGTAACATAGTACATGGATCAAGAGCAAAAAGTTCAAAATAATTTTAGCTTCTTTATGTGCAACTCTATACTACCATGTTGATATTTGCAGCTGAGAAGTCAAAAATACCTCATTTGAGTGCATATCTGCATGCAATTGAGGCCAACTTTGAGCACGGGGCTGATTTTGCTGCGTATGGGGCTACAATTCAGCCAGCTGACAGCAAACTCTACGGAAGTGGTGCTAACCCTATTGCCCTTAACATACAGCTTTTGCAGTTTCATCAGTTAAAGCAGCGGTCTCACGAGGTATATCAGCAAGGTTGGCAATTGCTTTTTTATTATCAACAACTTGATCATTATTATCATATCTGCCTCTTTACTACATGTTCAGCATTTGTTTTTATTCTTTCTTTTTGCGTGTGAATTTTCAGCTAAAACCTCCATTGCTAAATCCCGGTTGCCAAGGCCTGAAGACTTCTCAAAGGCCATTTATATGTTTGATATTGGTCAAAATGACATTGATTTTCTGTTAAGATTAACAACAGAGGATCAAGTACAAGAATCTCTTCCTTTTATAATCAATTACTTTGCTTCGGCGATAGAGGTAAGTGGTATATAATTATATATTCAATATAAGCTCCCTTTCTCTTTTTTTAGTGAGTTTAGTTTCCAATTTAGTCCATCATTTCTTCCACTGTTTGTGGTTAAAATTCAGTTGGCATTTTCAGAATCTACACCAAGGAGGAGCTAGGAAATTTTGGATACACAATACAGGACCGTTTGGTTGCTTACCAGATAGTGTGGAGACTCTGAAGAGAAATCTTCCCAATACTCAATTTACTGATGAACTAGGTTGTGTGAAGTCTTATAATGAGTTAGCTCAAGAGTTCAACCGTCTGCTCAAGGAGAAAGTGTCTGAATTACGCGCTATTTTCCATGACTCACTTCTTGTAATTGTAGACATATACTCTGCCAAGTACACTCTTATAAGGGACGCGAGTCAAAATGGTACTTAATTCACAAAACTTAATTACTACTCGTTTTCTACATGGTAGACATGTTAATGCCACAGTTTAACTATGATGGCAGGTTTTGTTGATCCTTTCAGTTACTGCTGCAAAGATTGTGCAGAATATCATGTACCATACTGGGAAATGAAAGTTGTTAACGACACCACTGCAATTCATCCAACTCCTTGTAATAGTCCTTCTGAATACATTAGTTGGGATGGTGTGCATTACACTCAGGCTGCAAACCGTTGGGTTGCTGACCGGATTTTGGATGGATCGTTTTCAGATCCTGCGCTATCCTTAGCTAAATTATGTGTGTAAATGCTGATGATCTGAAGCTCTTTGTGTCTCCTACTCATGTACTCCGTATTTTTAAAACATACACATTAACCTATATTGTAAATTTGTAATGGCCTTCGGATAAATATTACTCCGTATTAGAGTATCAGTTTCTTACTGGTGTTTGGATCTTTGAATTTGTAACAGGATAGTTGTGATATATGGTTTGGTTACTTGAATCTTAAGCATAATTTATAACTACTTATTTTCAGTATAATCAATCATAAACCATTTCATCATAAAAAAGTATTGTTCCAAAAATATAAACAATTTGACCATTTTCGATTATATTACTCCATATTGAATGCCATTTTTTATTTAATTACAAAAATGTCATTTGATATGCGAGCCAATATAAAGATTATAAACTACGAGTACACTGGATAACAAATGTAATTAACCAATTATGTAAGTGTTAATAAATAATAACTCTTAATTTTTATAGGAGTAATGTCTTATTAAACGTTCCTTGCAAATTAAGCTCAAACTTGATTATTTTTATAATTCAATCAATTTGACTTTCATCATGTATAAATCAAGTACCATGTTCGCCAATCGCCATCTTTCTCAGATCGCATCTTGTAAATTAAGCTCAAAGTAGATTATTTCAATCTTCTCCTCAAAATCACTTAAAAATTTCACTTTATATAATTTTTTTTTACTTCAAACTGTAAGGTATGTTCTTCCCACTTATCAATTTTTCTCACCATTTTAAATCTCTGTTTTTGTGTTTATTATGATTTGATAATGAAAATTTACAAATTATGAAACTTATCAGCTTGAGTATGATCTGATCTTACTGAAATGGGTATGGCTGGAATTTGTTTCTTTCTGTTTAAGAAGTATTAGATAGAAAATGATAAGAACTGTTCTTTGTTGATGTTCTTGTGATCTATGTTGCACATTAGGTGTTTGATGTGCTAAATTGTTTTAGTTGTTCTGTGATTTCTGTTGTAGGAGATAGTATGAATGCTGGGGTTAAGCTAAAGCTTTAGGTTGAGTATTACATGTTTGATGAAATGCTTGAAAGAGGAAAGACTGTAATGTGATGATGAATTGGTGGAGTTCTGTTAGTAGGAGATTTAACGCTACCTGGGGACTGAAAAACCGTCTGTTAGTAATGGCAATTGGGGTTGTTGTAATTGTTGGGTTTGCGTTACTTTTATCTCTTGGACCGCGAAGCAAAAGGGCAGTTGGTTTAACGGAAGAATGTCGAATTCCTGCCATTTACAACTTTGGTGACTCTAATTCTGATGCTGGTTGTGTCTCGGCTGCATTTCGACGTGTTCCATATCCGAATGGTATTTCATTCTTTGGTAAACCTTCTGGAAGGTACTGTGATGGGCGGTTAATGATTGATTTTATTGGTGAGTTGATGCTGCTAAACTCATTCTTAATTTCATCATCTGGAACTTATGCTTGCACATTTCATTGCATTAAGCGTAGGTTCCAGACTTTTCCATTTCATTGCACTAAGCATGAATTTCTTTGCTTATCAGTTATCAGCTATGCTTTCGAGTTCTTGAAATTGTCGTCTCTCTGTTGGACTGATGAACTTGTGATGACGTTGCTATCAATTTTACCTAGTATTTAGTACTTTAAATAAATACCACATTACTTTAATTCATTTGAAAGGATGAAGTTTCTTCCACTGAAGATTGATGCCAGCATTTGTGCTATTAATAAGTGAATTAAACTTGCTTAACTGCATACTACCAAGCGAACTAAACTTGTTTTTTTCTTAAATCTTACATTCTTAAATGTACAAGGGTGAATAGGACTTTTACTTCTTTTCAAGTTTGATAGTATTTGATGAGTCCACACCCTTGCTCTCATATTTCCCCATATGTCTTGCAGCCGAGGAGTTGGGATTGCCTTTTTTGAGTGCATATTTGGATGCACTTCAAGGCAACTTTCAGCATGGTGCAGATTTTGCTGCAAGTGGGACCACAATTCAGCATGTTGACGGGAAGCTGTTTGGAGGTGGTCTTAATCCTCTTTCCCTCGATGTACAACTTTTGCAGTTTGAAGGGTTGAAAGAACGGACTAGTGAACTATCTGCACAAGGTTGTGGTGGACTACATTAAAATCTTTTTTTTTTCCTAGAAAGAGGCTTCAGTTGCATAAATTTTTTATCCTGATTGTGTATCAGCTTTGTGGCTTTTGGTTCCTAGATAACGTTAAGAGCCGCTTCCCAAGACTTGAAGACTTCTCAAAGGCCCTATGTACATTAGATATTGGGCAAAATGACCTTCATCATGCATTAACGACTATGACAGAGGATGAAGCTCGTGAAACTATTCCCAAGCTTGTAAATCAGTTCGCAATGGCAATAAAGGTAACTGCAAGTTCAACTTGCATAATTTATTTTCTTGCATATTTTACACTTCATAACCAATACTATGTTGATTGTGGGTTCATAAAGGGGGGATTGGGGGGGGCGGGTGGTCGGGTCTTGAAATCCATTTACATATAATGCATACTGAAGATATCAAGATAATACAGTTATAAATTTATAATAGATTAGTGATCTGAACCATCTGATTAATGATTATCTATACTTTCATTTATATCATCATCCATTTATCATTGCTGTATTCCTTCTGCAACCCAAATGATTTAATATGAAGGGAACTTTTGTCATCAGTTATATCCCATATGCATCAACTGATCAACCACTTAAATTATAAAAGGACAGCGAGTTAGATTTGGATTTTCTGTTCGGTTTGGTTTGGTTTCATAATTAGGAAAATAGGAGAATATATCTTTCAGTCCTACACCTGAATTCTTCCATACTGATGTCGAATAAAAATTTACTCTTACTTTTCATCTTCTCAGAAACTTCACAGTTTAGGAGCCAGGACATTTTGGATGCATAACACTGGCCCTATCGGTTGCTTGCCATTTATTTTGGTGAAATATCCTCCCCAGCCTGGAAATGTTGATGAAGCTGGTTGTGTCAAGTCTTACAATGAGGTAGCCAAAGAGTTCAACAAACAACTCAAGAATAGGATTTCTGAACTGCGGACTCAACTCCATGACTCCCTTCTTGTATATGTTGACATTTACTCAGCTAAATACTCACTTATTAGTGAATCAAAGAAATATGGTAAGATTTGTGACAAGCCTATGCCCCCTCCCCCCTTGTCTCCTCAGTCTTGATAACCATTTCAACGAGTGCCAAATGCGTCCAATCTCACATGTTTTTCTTACAAAATACTCTTATTATTCAGGAGATCTTCCAAAATATCCTATAATCAGTAAAATTTGCCATTTCCGATATTTATCTTCTCATCCCTCCCCTCCTGTATTCAAGCATTAGCTGATATTTTGAGTCCATGGCGATTTCAGGTTTTGTGGATCCACTTGGTTTCTGTTGCAAGCATACTGGTAATTATTCTAGTTTGCATTGTTGGAACAAAGCAGAAGAGAACGGGACTGCAGTTTATGCAACTCCGTGCAGTAATCCTTCAGAATACTTAAGTTGGGACAGTATACATTACACCGAGGCTGCCAATCGATGGGTTGCAAACCGTATTTCGGATGGGTCTCTCTCTGATCCTCCTGTACTCTTGACTAGTTTATGTACTAAGTCTTCCCTTTGAACTTCATTTCTTGAGAATGACCTGATATTGCACTGTCCTCTTAGCTTCAGTTCCCATTTCATTTTACCTAGATTTGCGATTACATGTTACAAATATGTTTTTTACATAATCCATCCAAGTGGGTATTACCGTATTACTTACTCTGACTGATTTTTACAGTAATTGAAATCTGAAATGATCATGATATGAGCTTTGGTATGTTTATTGATCAATGTTCGTATTGTATAAACTTAATGCTTAGAAATATATTTCCTGTTCTAAACCTAAAAATTGACCATGTTTGGGGTGGATCAGTTTAGACAAGTGCACTAGTGACTTAGTGAGTACCAGCTCTCCTCCTCACAATCCTTCAACAAAACTATTGTGAAACGAAGGTAATAAGAAATACTAGAGCTTACTTTTTTTTTTTTTTCCAAAAGAGTATATAAAAAACGACTCCACTGGGGATCGAACCCAGAATCTCTGGTTTCGTAGACCAGCGCCTTATCCATTGGGCCATGGAGTCTGAAATAGTGCCTTTTTATTTTAACTCTCAGCAAATTCTACATATACTCTTCACGTTTTGTCTTGTTATCCATAAATTTTAATTTTTAATCTTATTCTCCTTCAATTTGTGTGCTTAGCTTTTTAAACAATTACACTAAGTAGAAGATATGTCGATCAATTCAAAAGAAGTTAATCCTTATAAAAATGTGTTCTTTTAACCTGATTTCTTTTTTTTTTTTATTTGAGTTTATTAAAACTTATTTTAGCTATGAATTAGCTTTATAAAAACTTATATTAATTGTTGAACCAATTTGAAGTTATTCAAGGATTAAACTTATGAAAACTTATTTCACTTACTAAACTTTTTCTAATTTATCTGAGTTTATTTAAACTTATTTAAGCTATGTTACGTAACTTGAACTTAGGTAACAATCTTTATATAAATCTATCTTTTAATTGAAAACACGATGATTGAACAAATGATTGTCTTCTGATTTCACGATTCATGATGTCAACGAGGAGAATAATTAAGGTAAATTCTAGTTAAAAGAGTTACCTAATTTTGTAATAGATCATAGATATCATTTAAATGAGAAATAACCTTTTGAAATAAGAACTTTTTTGGAGGGGGAAACGTAAAGTACTTGTACTAATTTACACAAATTTTGTATAGGTTTTAAATCTAATTCTTCATCCATTATTTGAATCGTTGTTAGATTAGTATCAAAGTATATATACAAATTTCAACTTTTTATAGTCTTTATCAATATCAATAAGTAATTAAAGATATAATAACGTACCGTTTATTCGTTTAATGGGAAATGGAGTAGGTTTAATGGGCTCTTAGCTCCATGTCCCACCTCCATTAATTCTTCAGCACAAAAAAAAAATCTTCAAACTAAAGATTTGCGACTCCACTGGGGATCGAACCCAGAATCTCTGGTTTCGTAGACCAGCGCCTTGTCCATTGGGCCATGAAGTCAATATTACTGCTCGGTAACTTCGTCTTTCCAATATAATTTGTATGTTGACATTTTTGTTTGTTTTTTCAAGTTATCATTAGAAACTCTTCGTGAAAGACTTTTCAATGGCCACATTAAAATGTAGCCATTGAATCTACTTTCAACCTTAACCGTTTAAATATTAATGATTAATCTTGTTCTAAATTATAATTTAATTTTTTAACTACTTTATTTTTTACCAAAAAAAAAAAAAAAAAAAAAAAAAAAAATAACTGCTTGTTGCTGCCATTGATGCAGTTCCAACTTCCAAGTATTCAATTTAGCTTCAACCTAAAATCTCCATTAAATTGATATGGAGGAACAATTAACATGGATAGGATTAATGTATAACCAAGCAAATCAATGGAAAACTGCCAACTAAACTTGAAAAAAGGAATAAAATTTTATACTTTAGATATACGAACTATAAATAATTGGATAGGATAATTAATTACACAGTCCGTAAGAATTTAATTATTGCTCTCCATAACTCTCTGTGGTCATTCTTGCACTAATTGATCGATTTCATGTTAAGCGGATCGTTTTGTTATTCATACTTTGCAGAAAAAACATCAATGGAGTAGTTTACTGTGTAGAGGATATTATGGAAAAACAGTTAAAAGAATTTCTTGGGTATTTTTATGGTCAACTTAAATCAATGGTCCTAATTTACGTAATGATAATTAAGGGTGTAGATTTCGTTTTTATAGTGGCTACAATTTTATTGTAGCTATTGCAAAACTGTCCGTTGTTTTAATTGTAAAATTTGTAAGATAATGACTTATGACTTTTTGAGCTTTTGTATTGGATTTGACCATACGTACACGAGGTATAATTGATCTGTTTTATTATTAGATATTATTATGTAACATGTTGCATTAATCTCAATATTTTTTTCCATATAATATTAACTTTTATACTTTTTACAAATTAATAATATATATGTTCAAAGTTATGATTTTATGCACTGTAATAATCGTAATTTCAAACGTTGGAAGCCTTGGTAGGTGCCATTTTACCACAACTTTGTTATGTGGGTGAAAACTTCAAACGTAGTGTTATTTTCTTCTTATTATTACAACTCTTTATTTTGCTACATTGATCGACTTCTTATTTAAACCATTTAGCTGATGACAGAGGTAACTTAATATTTTCTTAACTAATAATAGACTAATAGTATCATATTTATTCATTATCATCAAGAGCATCAGGCTGTGCTTGAATAATAGCATCTCGAAACGTGCTTAGCTGATAGTAAGAATCATTCAGCCTCTACAACAATGGAAACTCGTTCAGATCAACGTCGAACCACTTGATTGCACCATCTATTTCCGGTGCCAAATACAGATCTGCAAGTGCAACTTCATCACCAGTTGCATATCTTCCAGCATGCTCTTCTAGTATTTTCTCCAAGGCTGCAAATCCAATCTTAAAATGATGTTTAGCCCAAGCCTTCTTCTCGTCGGACCCAAGCCTGTCTTCAATGTATTTTTGCACTTGTATATTTATAAACGGTTGTATACTTGAGGCTACCAAATTCGCAACCTGCTTATTGATTTCCATTCAAACCCAAAGTGTAAGGTCCTGTTCACTTCATCTTACAAAAATAATATTCAGTAAAAATAATTTCAGTTCAGTAAAAATAATTTCATTTGATCCCACATGACAATAAATCAATAAGAATCATCAAAGTTAGTCAAAGTGGAACATATAAATAGTGTAAAAGTCAGAGTGTTGCAAGTATATAAAAAAAAGAGAGGGAGTATAAATTGAGAAAACGGAAAAAAGAAAATGATTAACCTGATAATTGAGAGCTCTTTTCGGAAGATCATCTTTGGATGGCAACAAAGAGGGTTGAGGATACTTCTCTTCCAAATACATTATAATAGCAGAGGACTCAAAGATGACTACATCACCATCAACTAAAACAGGCACAAAACTTCGAGGACTCATCTTTATAAACTCAGGTTTAAATTGATCTCCTTTGAGTACATTCACCTCCTTGTACTCATATTCAAGCCCTTTTAAGTGGAGAGCGATTCGAACCCTCGCCGAGCTTGAGCTCTTCCACCATGAGTACAGCTGAATCTTCTTTGGCTTCTGCTCAGCTTCTACTAAACTTGCCATTTTTAGTACATATATTTTGTTTAATGATATTGTAAGATATGAAAGCAACTTAATCTGATGCCAGTCTTTATATATTTGGTCATTTTTTTTGGAATAAATACAAGGCAGCGCAGCCAGGGTTTTTGCATAGCTAAGAGCTTACGTGATCTATGTCACTATTTTTAGTCAAAATGAGTAGGACAGGCCATATTCTCTTAAATATATGATGACTGTAGATACAACAAACCTTCTTTAATTTTCATAAAGATAAATTAGTGTAATTAGTATTTATATTTTTATGATTTCCTAAATTTATACGATTTTTTAGTGTAAATTTAATACTTATATGTAACCCTAAGTGCTATGTATAGCATTTTCCTTAATCTTATGCACAATTGAGATTAAAAAAATAAAAAAATAACTAGCCTTGGAAATCGAATCTAGTTATAAAAACATTTTTTTAAAGTTCCAATATTAGGAACTTTTATTTAAGGATCAGACTAATAATTAGTCGATAATGATACATAGGGAATTCAAAAGTTAGATAAATTACACCCAATTTGGAGTACATACTATTTTTAATTCACATTTTAATTGATAAGCATGATGACTATTACTTCCAAATTTAGCCAATTTGATGCGCAAATCTCCATTAATAGTTATGTTAGGATTAAAAAAACAGAGGAAGTAATATTAATTGTCGGTCGAAGTACACAAGTCAATGCAATATAATAACATTCCTTGAACCATTTCCGTCTTGGTCCCATTTGTACATTTTAGTTCCCTCCTTTGGCCCCTTCTTATATTTATGCAATTTCTCACACCACAAACTAAACAAAACACACACACATTTTCTCTCTATCCTCTCATTCTTTCCTCGTAGAAATGGAGTGTGGCAACCTAAAAGTTGTAACATCCCTAGTATTGGCATCAACTCTAGTCGTGCTAGCAAATTGTGCAATGGAAAACCAAGGTGAATGCATGTTTCCAGCAATATTTAACTTCGGAGACTCGAACTCGGACACCGGTGGCTTGTCCGCGGCGTTTGGCCAGGCAGGACCGCCTCACGGCGAGACCTTTTTCCACTCACCTGCGGGGAGATACTGCGACGGCCGCCTTGTCATTGATTTCATTGGTAATGTTTTTCTTTGTTATTGCAACTCTTATCATTATCAAAATCATTTTCACCTTTCATTTGTGTCCTTATTTGGAATATATCCTTCCTTTTTAAATCCCATTATAGCATAAAAAACTTACCATTATTTGATTGTCATTAGGTTAATGATATATTTATCCCTTACGCATTTAGTGCATGCTTTTTTTTTAAACTGGCACAAATATATGACAAAATCATATGTCAATTGATATAACTAATTAGTGTTTTGTTTCAAAAAAAAAAAAAAAAAAAAAAATAATTAGTAATGTTTTATTTAACTTAATATATACATTTCTAACTTCATATATGCAACTGTAAGCAAAGATCGTGTACATTATTTTCCTTATTCCGTACATATTTTAAAGATTGATTCCTATATATCCAAAATATTTTTTGCGTTGTACGTACACTCATTATTGCATCTTGGAAGATCAAGACCAATCTAAAAAATCATTGTACTTTATTACTAAGCATGGCTTTTATTTTGTCCTCAAAGAATAACTAAAAGATTATGATATATTCATAATTTGTTTGTATCGTTAGGTCCATCTAACTTTTAGAAATTCGAAGCATAAGATAATAAAACTGGTTAAAAGATATGTATGCACGAGGGTATGGCCTATTATTGTTGTTTGTCAATTGTCATTATGTGCAAGCTTAAATCAACAGGAATCCTGATAAAATCCATCTTATGAACGTTACATTCTAAAACTATAAGACTTCATTGTTTTGCTTCTTATATTAACATTGTATTTGCATAATTAGGCAAATATCGCATGCATAGTCACTTAGTTGTTCAGGATTCGTTACCACACTTACATGTAAAGACATCGATCGCAAGAACACATATACGCGATATATATGTCAATTAGATGTAGTTGTTGTTAATATATATAGTTTGAGTTTCACATTATGACCTCATTGACTGCATTTAATTAGTGTCAAACTTGTGTCTGTGTTGACCAATAAGAGATTCATTCCGATCAATTAAAGTCCTTCAATTCACTTAATTTCCTTATCATAATAATGATATCTATGTACTTCTATGGTTTGTAAATTCTAAGGTGTTTAGTTTGCAGAATATAGGTATGAGATATAAGTTTAGTATGACTAAAACCCATATCATCTGTTTGGTTGTCAATAGTATGAATTTTAAACTCATACCTCAAACTCATGAGGTATGGGGTATAGAAACCTTGGGAGGGAGTTGGGTTTGACCTATTCCATTCCCTTAGGTATCAAATAAAAGGAGGGAATAGTGAAAGATTCCATTCTAAAATTGAACCAAACACATGGTATTAATTAATTCCAACTCGATACTACCTTAACCCCATTCCTGATTCCAAACCTATACCACTATATGAACCAAACTCCCCCAATTAATCATCTTATAAAAAGCATATGAAACACTGGTACACACTTAAGCTGATTTTTTTAAATACCTTTTTTTTTTGGTAAAAGCACAAAGCTTGGGACTTCCTTATCTGAGTGCCTTCCTAGATGCTGTGGGATCGAACTTCAGCCATGGGGCCAATTTTGCTACGGCTGGGTCGACCATTCGACCTCAAAACACAACCCTTCGTCAGAGTGGGTTTAGCCCTATCTCTCTGAACGTTCAATTTTACGAATTCAGTGACTTTCATCGACGTTCCCAAATTATTCGCAACAAAGGTCAGTTTTTGTTCCTTTCTCCTTTCTTATTTGGATAAGGTACATTATGTAATGATCCATAAAATATAACAGGACATGTCTTCAAGGAATTGCTACCAAAAGGAGAATATTTCTCTAAGGCTTTGTATACTTTTGATATTGGTCAAAATGATTTAACGGCTGGATTTTTCCTAAACATGTCAACTGACGAAGTTAAAGCAAACATTCCAGACGTGTTAGGTCAATTTACGACTGTTATTAAGGTAAGGAAATTATGCTCTTTTTTTCCCCCTATATTGATGTATATTCATCGCCCTATATGTGTCATGCATTTATCATTATTCGGACCATGAACTTTTAGAATGGGAATGCAAATTAATAATATGATGAGAATAAGTTATTATGTGTATTTAATTTCTCTTACTTTACTTTTAAATTTCGGCTTTTATCATGAATTCATGGGTTTTGGGGGTCCTAAAAATAGATGAATCTCTTTTTCGCTTCAAAAACTACTTGAAATCAGTTGGTTGTCATGCATGCATTCAACTGCACTAAAAATTGGTTAGCTCAAAGAATTTACCCAAAATATATGTATGTACTTGTATATACATGCGAATGTCAATCACTTTAATTTATGTATACTTTAGATTGAAGTTTAGCGTCCACGATCTAAAATTGAATCTCGTTACATCAATTTTGGAATCAGAAATTACGAATGATGATGTATTTTTCCAATTTAATGTGGTTGTTTAGGACATATACGATCGAGGAGGTAGGTATTTTTGGATACACAATACAGGACCAGTAGGATGCCTACCATACGTAATGGACCGAGTGCCAATCACCGCAGGCCAAGTGGACAAAGTAGGATGTGCCAGCCCACAAAACGAAGTGGCCCAATATTTCAACCGAAAGTTAAAGGAAGTGGTGGTCCACCTAAGACAAAAGTTAGCCCATGCGACCTTAACTTATGTTGATGTTTATTCTGTCAAGTACGACCTCATTAGCCATGCTACTAAATATGGTAAGGTTTCTACTCTTTTACAAATTAAATAATCTATGATTATGATATATTGATGGTTGATGCACTTCTTAGGTGATCTACATTCACCTTCTAGTTCTAAATTCAGTAAAATTTGGAAAAGAAAAAATTATGATCATGTGATAGATGTACAACTTTTTTATGTAACTATGAGCTCATCGTAGTTATGATGGTGTAATGAGTTATGGCAGAAGACAACGGTGAATCTAGTAATTGTCACTGGTGAGTTGGAAGTGTGTATAATTGTAGAGGTTGAGTATCAAACATCATATTTTAGTTACGATGGAAGCTAGGTTTGACAAGATCGATATAGCTATGTTAAATTGGTTGCGGCTGTAACAATAGAGTTTGGCTTAATTTTTTTTCATTTTATGATTACATCTCACATATTAATGTTCATGGAATATCTATTAGGAAAATCGATCTTTGTCACTTATTCATTGTTTTGGTTTTTAAACGATCATGTACAACGTAGATATTACAGTTCAAACTTGTATCGAATCATATTTATCATATAACATGTTACCAAGTAGCGAGTGACATGTGGTATATATGAAGGAATAATTACAAATAGTATGCATTTGTTATAAGCAAAGGGACGTGTGGGGCTCTATCCTTCACTACTTTTTAAATGTGCCCATATTATGTGGTAATCAATAACTCTAAGCATGCGTTTTAAACAGCAAAGGACCATCAAGGTACCCCCACATTTTAGAAACGTGAATTTAATTTTTTTTTTTTCATTCTTATTTGATCTTTTTGTTAAGGTTTTGAGCATCCACTAAGGGCTTGTTGTGGTCACGGAGGAAAGTACAATTATAACGAGCACATTGGTTGTGGAGGGAAGATAACTGTCAAGGGCAAACAGATTTTAGTAGGAAAAGCGTGTAAAGATCCTTCTGTATCTATCAACTGGGACGGTGTCCATTACACTGAAGCAGCTAACAAATGGATCTTTGATCGGATTGTCGACGGTTCTTATTCGGATCCTCCTATTTCCTTGAAAAATGCTTGTCATTAGCTTTGGTTACATTTTTACAAATGTGTACTCTTTCATGATTGTCAACCCGATCACGTATTAAATTGGCTTAGTATGCAAACTCTAATTAAATAATTATTCGAAATTTGTTCTTAGGTCTTTCAATTAACTTGGTGCTTGATATTAATATAGTGTCATTCACCAATGACCTACTATGAGTATTACGTGTATGCATGTGTATTACGTGACAAATTATTACTCCGTATGAAGTAACTTTGTTTTTCATATCAACACTCTAACCTGAAGGTTCTATTTATTACGTTGATGAACCAAATGTACCTAGTATGAAGTTATTATACTTTTATAACAAACCCAAATATGATCCGTTAGTACTTGTAGCAGGCCCTTTTCAATGAAATAGGCGGATCCGAATATAATCCATCAGCTAAACGATCAAAGACCCATTTGTTAGCCGCATCGGTGTAGTGAGCTCCATCCCAATTGATCTTGACTAGTGGATTGTTGCAAGCTCCAACTAAAATTTCTTTACCATGATCCATAAACCTTGCTCCACAACCTTTATGTGAGTCATAGTTATATTTTCCTCCTTGTCCACAACATGCTTTTAATGGATATATAAAACCTACATAATGTAAGACCAAAAACACCAATTAGTTATATTTTTCTCACGACGAAATTTCGAACAAGAATAAGAACGAGAAAACTACTGAACATTTGTATTAAGACGTACCATATTTGTTAGCATTGCTAATGAGGTCATACTTAATTGAGTAGACATCAACGTATGTGATTGAGGCTAATGGCATGTCTTCTCTGAGTTGGGCCACAGCTTTCTTAAGCCCAAAGTTAAAGTATTGGGCCAATTCATTAATAGGGATTGCACATCCAGTTGGGTCCATTTGGGTGGTAAGTGGGAGGCCATCCAGCACATACGGTAGGCATCCTAGTGGGCCCGTATTGTGTATCCAAAAGTACCTTGCTCCTTGCTTGTATATGGACTGCATAATTAAGAATGTAGTAAAACTCGGAAAGTATCCTATACAACGGTTACATTACATAACATCAAGTGTTTGAAAGAAATTAATGAGCTGAATTCTAATTCGTAATTAGTTGTGCCAAGTAAATTTTAAATTAGATATTACATGTGTTTATACTATAGAAGATGAAAGTGGTAGGTTATGTACCTTGGCATATGTCTTGAATTGATCCAACATGTCGGGTATGGTTTCCTTGACTTGATCAATTGACATATTTGGAAAATAACTAGCCACCAAATCATTTTGGCCAATATCGAATGTGTAAAGAGCTTCCGAGAAATACTCTGCCTTCGGCAATAATTTCTTGAAAATATCTTCTGAGCTCAAGAAAAGAAAAAGATGATGAATTAGACCTCGAAGCCCTTGTAAGGCCACTAAGCTGAGGTAATTCCCAAAATTCCGCCCTTAACTGTTGTTATAACAAGACTACATAAAAAAAATGAATGTTTAGAATGGGAAAAATAAAAAGTAATTCAAGTACCTTTATCACGAAAGATCTGAGAGCGTTGATGGAAATCATAAAATTGATTAGACTGAATTTTAAGAGAAAATGGGCTATAATAAATGGTGGTCTGAGGTCTAATAGTAGACCCTGCCGTAGCAAAGTTGGCTCCATGGCTAAAGTTGGATCCAACTGAATCAAGGAACCCGTTGAGATATGGAAGTCCAAAGCTTTTAGCTGCATCACCAATTACTATGGATTAGAATATGTTATAAGTATTTGTAGTAACTAATAAGTTCTCACGTATATAATAAACTTCTACAACAAACCTAGCTAAGACAAAAAAAGTTTGAAAGAAATTAACCAAAAAAATTAGTGTGCTAGAGTGGAGAGTTGACATTAAAAATTAAACAAAATTTACACGTACCTATAAAATCAATAATGTGACGTCCATCGGAGTATCTTCCGGCAGGGGCATGGAAGAAGGTCTGACCATGAGGTGGTCCTATCTGGCCAAACGCGGCCGACCTGCCTCCAGTGTCGGAGTTTGAGTCTCCAAAGTTGAAGATGGCCGGGAACTCACATAAGGATGGTGAAGTACTACTAGTACTCAAACTTTTACATGGATGCATCATAGACACGCCAATTACTACAATGGCCAATAATAATGCTTGCACTGATTTAGAGCCATGCATTGCAAAATAATTGTGCACCATAATACTTGTATGATTATGCCCAAGTTTATATGAATATATTCTAGTGCCGCTTAGCTTGAATTTATTTGATAAGATAGAATAAGTGACTTGACCTTAGCATTAATAGAATTAAGTAGTTAAAAACTGAGTATATATGTAGTATAATTAACTCAATACCAAACAATAGTTTATGGTACACTAGTTATAATTTTCTTATTTTTTAATGTTGTCATTGTCTCTAAAATATCTATTTTATACATCGGAAGGATATTGTTTTTAATACTAGCTTAGCTTCTTGGTAGTCGTATACGGGAAGCAAAAACTGTCCTTTTATGCTATAAAATTTGGATTTTTTTGGTAGTTTTGATAATGTGTGCCTATATGGGTTGACTCAGATTGCAATACTTACAAGTTATCAAGAACTTAATTTTATTTATTTATTTATTTTATTTTATTTTATTTTTTTTGTTTTTTTGAAACTTGTCAAGATCTTAATTAAATACTTCATAGTAATAATAGCTAGATCGAGTTTTTCTAGTTTAATTGGTTTTTTTTTTGGGTATTTTTTATGAGCTATTAGTTTATGCAATAAGTTCACCTCTAAAACAAAAATATAAACGTATAGAAAAAAGGGAAGCCACATTTTAGAGAGAGTTAATTATTTCTATTTCTAATGTATAACTTATTTTTAAGTGATCCCTTTAATACAAAATAAGAAAAGTTTATTATTAGACAGAGAAAATGACTAAGAGAATAGAGGAATTTAAACAACCCTGAAAAGTGGACACTCGTTGCAACCTTGCTTGAACGCATTTGTATCAATGGATAATGCGTACTAAAGGTGATGATGACCCTATGATTAGACAAGAATCAAAAGCCATAAACTACATTATGCTCCATCCAATTTTACACATTATGCTTGGTGGAAACGTTATATATATATAGAAGGGCAAAACTTATCAAATTAACACATCACTACTGCTTGTAACATGCCATTTTCAATGAAATAGGAGGATCCGAATATGATCCATTAACCATACGGTCGAAAACCCATTTGTTGGCCGCCTCTGTGTAATGAGCTCCATCCCAACTAATCCTCACCAAGGGATCTTTGCAAGATCCAACCAAAACTTCTTTACCATTTTCCAAAATCTTTGCTCCACAACGTTTTTGCATGTCATAGTTATTCTTTCCTCCATGTCCACAACAAGCCAAAAATGGATTTTCGAAACCTACATGTATGAACAATATAAAAAATAACGTTAAACGCGTAATTTCTTTTGTAAGAGAATGAGAATCACAAATATTTTATTACATTAAACAAAGAAGGAAAAAAATGGATTAATAATCAAGCAGAAACATTAGAATTTTAAAGAAAACAAAGGGAGTAACATCGTATACTTGATTTTCTCATACAAATACCAAACAATTTCAAATAAGACGAATACTTGATGGCATTTCTAATGAGGTCATACTTGATGGATAAGAGAGTAATAAGCGTACCAAATTTTTTAGCATGGCTAATGAGGTCATACTTGATGGAGTAGATGTCCACATACGTGATGGCTGCTAATGGCATTTCTTCTCTGAGTTGGGCCACAATTTTCTTAAGCCCAGAGTTAAATTCTTGGGCCACTTCGTTTAATGAAATAGCACATCCAGTTTGGTCCATTTCAGTGGCATTCAGTGTTTGACCATTTAGCATATACGTTAGACATCCAAGTGGACCCGTATTATGTATCCAAAAGTACCTACCTTCTCGGATATATACCTCCTGTATCATAGTGATAAGTTAAAATCACAATCTAGAATAGTGGAATTGTCAAAAATCGACCCGATTATTCTTACCAACACAAAATTTTTTGCATGACCTAAATTCAATAATTCGACCCAATATAAGACAATTTCGTCAAAAAAAAAAAAAAAAAAAAAAAAAAGGTTGATAAGACAATGCTTGATTGAATATGAAAACCTATAGAGATACAAATCGAGTCTAATCAATGGTGATTTTGGAGATTTAATGTAGCTAGGCTATTGTTAACTTGATTAGTTGAAGATGAATAATTTTTGCGTACCTTGATATATGCTTTGAATTGATACAAAATGTCAGGGATTTTTTCTTTAACTCGATCGATTGACATATCAGGAAAGTAGACTGACGTCAAATCATTTTGGCCAATGTCGAATGTGTAAAGAGCTTCAGAGAAGTACTCTGCCTTCGGCATTAAGCTCTTGAAAACATCTCCTGACCACATGTTATAACGAGAAAAAATAAATATGAGTACAATATGATATACTTGCTCTGTTAGAAATTACTTGTAATACTTTTGGCAAATTTGGGTACACATTATGCATTTGTATATCCAACAACTAAATGTACCACATTCGTGAGTTATTGTAAAATTATACTCTTTACCATTAGTATTGCTCTAAGTTCATGAATTATTCCTACTTTCGAGATTTACTCAAAAAATAAAATAACCAAATAAACATACAACAAGTTCATAATTTGATCAATAGGGGAAATATCGTAGAATTATAAAGCATTAATGTAAATGTAAGAAAAACACATGCACGCCCAAATTTAATGGAACAACAAGTAATATAAAAAAACATTACATTATTAATATAATTATGTACCTCTATTACGGATAATCGGCAACCGCTGTCGGAAATCATGAAATTGATAAACTTGGACATTCAACGAGAATGGGCTCAAAGAAGTGCTATTCTGAGGTCTAATGGTGGCCGCTGCCGTAGCAAAGTTGGCTCCATGGCTAAAGTTAGATCCCATTGAATCCAGGTACGCGTTTAGGTAAGGGATTCCTACACCTTCCGCTGCATCAATTTTGTCACATTATAAAATGAGCGACATTAATTTGTTCATATACATTATACTGTAGATGTCAATTTGCTTAGTTGATATACTAAAAAAAAAAAACTTAATTGAATTGACTTGGATTACGTAATTAAAATTCTCAACGTTTTAGGACTCGAAAAAATAAATATATTTTTGGAGTAGTTTCGATCTACTAGTTGTACTACTACTAGTCATGAATGTGAACATGACTCGAAAGACTAGAAACGTACCTATAAAGTCAATTAAGAGACGTCCATCAGAGTACCTCCCAGCAGGAGCATGGAAGAAAGTCTCACCATGAGGAGGTTCGGCCTGCCCAAATGTGGCAGACCAACCACCAGTATCGGAGTTTGAGTCGCCGAAATTGAATACAGCCGGAAAGTTACACGGAGAAGAAGACGAGTTTAGAGTTTGATCATGTCGAGTTGTTGCAAATAATTGCCTTGGAAGTGCCTTAGACGACACACCAATCAGTAGAATGGCTAATGGTAATGCTAGTATCAGTTTAGTAGCATGATTCGCGAAATGATTGTTATCCATTTTGTATAATTATTTCGTTTGTAAGAGTAGAAGACGGAAGTTGTTCTAGCTTCTTGTAATTAATACAAAGTAGTGGAGAGATTAAGATACATGGGATTGTATAAAATATACTACGATAACGACTTTATGAGATCTACATTTTCTCTTGGGTGTATAGTATGCGGTTGTTTAATTAGCCTTAAATTAAGCATCGATTGGAGTTCATTAAAAATTGTTCAAATTGCTTTTACATAAAAGAAAGTAAATTGTTCAAATCAAACATAAGCCTGTGGAAAAATAAATTAGAAAGGAGTGCTTTCCCTAAGTATTGTTGAGAAGATATGCAATTTCATATATACATCTACTTTTTAAATAATTCTCAATATACTGTCCATGTCAACCGTTTAATGAATCAAATTTTTTTTTTTCAATTTTTTGATACAACGCTATCTCAGATGGCGGTTTATATAGAAAAACCGCTACTTCAAGTAGCGGTTTCCACTCACTATTAAAATTTCAACCTCATCTCGCTGCTCTCATTCTCAACTCACTTTTTCAGATAAAAACAAAGTCCCCAATTCTCCATTGCCCATCATCCATTCTACCCACTCAAATTTCAGATCTCAAACATCTCTCATACATTCTTCAAATTTTCATTCTCAATTGCCTAGCATCTTCAAATTAGGGGATTTTTCAATTAATTTTGAGAATTTTTTTTCTTTTTTTTTTGTTGTAAAAAAAAAAATTCAATTTATTCTGGGTAGGTTGTGGAATTATCTTGCAATTCTCTAACTCAATCCTAATTATTTTCATCATTTTATACGAATTATACGAAGTATATACTGTTATGTTCTTCCCCTTCTCTCTCTAAAATCAGATTACTCTTGATTTTTTCTCACCAACCAGATAAGATTTTATTTATTTATTTATTTATTTATTTTGTTTAATTTGGAGAAGTATAATTAATTTTGCCTTGTTTCTATTCTATTTTTCATCTGAATTCATCCTTGATTATTGTAGAATTTCTTGAGAGAAGATTGAATCCATTTCATCTGAATTTTTTTTTTGTTTTTACATGAAATGGAAACCGCCACTTGAGTTGGCGGTTTTCCCCCAATTAAAATCCGCTAACTCAAGTGGCGGCTTTGTGTTAGATTATTAAAAAAAAAATAGTTTTATACTTAAATGGTGACGTGGGCGGTAGATTGAGAAATTGTAAAAGTTTAGCTGTATTTATGGAATTGGTAATAGTTGGAGCATTATTTAGGGAAACCACTCATTAGAAAGAGAAAAACTGATGTATACATCCTAAAGGTCAAGTGTAAATAAGTCAATAAGAAGCTAAAAATGAAAATAATAAGTATGGTACCTACATTAATTACACTAATTGACACATAATTTTGTCATACACTTTTAAAAACTTGGTTGATTAGAATTATTGAATTAGGAACTGTATTGAATGGTTTTTTTTTTTTACAACCTTATCTATTAGAAAATTAATAATTTATTGCCCTAACAAAAAAGATAGGACCTAAAGCTATGTTTGTTTTTTTATGTTTTTGACAAAGGCAGGTTTTTGAATATATATGGTTTTTTTTTTTTTTTTTTTTTTTTAAATGGAATAGAGAGGGGTGATTTCATTAAATAATAATAGTCATCCAACACTTACAATAATCCCTTATTAGATAAATTCTTAATACTAGTATTAAACACCTTTAAACTAATGCATCGTTTCTAAAACTGCTCCTGAATAATTTTAGATGTCTTTACATCATTCTCGACGGAGCTTCATTGATATATAGTCGCAAAGGTGATAATACTAGTTATTGATTATGTATCAAGATCGGCAAATTTGCAAGACAAATCTTCTAAATGTGCAACTCTACCCCAACAGAGACGCAATTCCTCAAATTTGCAAGACGAATCTTTCAAATTCTACACACACAAAAACAAAAAAAAATAAAAAAATAAAAAATCCAAACCAAACAATACTAAAACCACATGGAGGCCAGGGACTACCTGTAAATTTGTAATCACCATACTATTGGTGATTTTTATTAGCAAAAGACATTAAACTAAAGATGAATTTAGGAATTACCATCAGGTTTTTGTATATAGTGCACACAGTACACAATCATACAAAATAAAGATAAAGTTCTTAGGGAACGTTCTATTCTCATTATTTTATCTAATTTAAACTTAGTTACTAAACCTTTTAGAAATTACTATATTAGACTTTGTTCTCCTCGTTATTAATACTTACTAGTGCGGCTAATGTGCGCGATGCGTGTGTCATAACTAGTCTTGTCTGGAAGCTCTTCTTGTTTAGCCTTATGTCATCACAACTTTAATGGTTGGTATAACTAATGAGGGAAAATATGTAAACAAATATTTTTAGGGGTGTAAATTTACGCAGACACTATTATTTTTAAAAGTTAAAAAAAAGAGGCAATTGACATTAATAAGGGCAAATAAGTAAATAAACATATTGTAGGGTATTAATTATCAAAATACCATTTATAAGAGTTATCTCAAACTCTTAAAGGTAGGGATATCAAATCTAATAAATTTAGATAAGACATAAAAGTAAGGGTAATAAGTCAAATAAATCCTTACCTTTTATAAACGTATGACAAAACACTTTCGAATAATGTAAGGTCAATTATATCCTTAAAATATTTGTTTACGTATATGCCCCTATTAATATGATGTTAATTGCGTACATCTAAGTTTTTCCTCGCGTGATTTAAATATATAACTCTTATGAATAGTGTTTGGACAATTGTACTCTTTAAAATGTTTATTTACTTATTTGTCCTCGTTAATGTTAATTGCATTTTCCTTAAACTCTTAAAAACAATGTGCAGACATTTATACCCTTAAATATTAATTTACATATTTTTCCCTCATTAACATTGCCAATAACCGAAAGGGCTCAATAAACATGGTTATCTACTTAGCTATATATGGCGTGCATCGCGAGCGTTAGCTACCCTTGTTAATATAAGGGATTTGTTAAATATCGCCCACAAATTACTACATAAAGCCCACAAAATTAATATGATTTGACAGTTTTGCCCCTTTGTCAATTTTCTCTGAAAACGAAAATTTCACTCACCGAAAAATGTGGAGTCGTACGGGGACGCCGGGGGAGGCCGGAGATCCGGGGGACGACGAATGTCATCGGAAAAGATGGCTGGCGTCCGGAGGAGCCGCCACCACCGTGGCACCGGCGCCTGACCGGGACGCCGCCACCATGGCGGTGGCGCCTAGCCAGGACGCCTGTACCATGGTTGAGGCTTCCAGGCCAGGCGCCATGACCATGGTACTGGCGTCCCGGCTAGGCGCCACCACCATGGTGGCGGCGTCCCGGCCAGGCGCCGGTTCCAGGGTGGTGGTCCGGCCATTTAATATATATATATATTTATTTTTTTTTTTTTTTACATTTAACTTGCTTAAAATTCAAAATAAAAAATTTTCTCAGTTACCAACAAAAAAAAAAAAAAAAACAAAATTTTTAAAAAAAAAAGAATTTTTTTTTCTCAATTTCCAACAAAAAAAAACACAATATTACACAAAAAAAAAGAAAACAAAAAATTATCAATTTCCAACAAAAAAAAACATGATATTACACAAAAATAGAAAAAAAAATCTTAATTTCCAAAAAAAAAAAATATTATACAAAAAAACAAAAAAAAATTAAAAAAAATTAACAAAACAACCACGGCAAGGTGGTGGGGCGCCTGGCCAGGACGGCCGACGGGTGGTGGTGGCGCCAGGTCTGGCAGCCACGTCCACCGGCCTGGCGTCTGGGCAGGACGCCCAACCACAGTGACTGGCGCCTGTCCCAAATGCCACTCACCGTGGCTGGGCGTCCTGCCCAAACGCCAGGCCGGTGGACGTGGCTGCCGGACTTGGCGCCACCACCACCTTGCCGCCACGAGCCAACCACCTTGCCGCCACGAGCCTCGACATCCCCGTACTTTGATTTTTATTGAGGTTGTGTTTTTTTTAAGGTCAAGGGCAATATTGTAACTTCAATATAAGTTTGCGGGCTTTATGTGGAGATTTGCGGGCGATGTTTAGCAATTCACTGATATAAATGTCAATAAGTTCAGATAAGATAATATAAGGGTTGATAATTTCAAATAAGATAACATAAGGTTGATAAAGATTGAGATAAGATAAAGTACAAGTTAATAAGTTTTAATAAGGGAAGATAAACTAAGTATATTATCAAGAGATAAGATAAAGTAAGAGTTAATAAACTATGAATAGTACTGATTTGGGTATTTTTACCCCGCCATGTGGACCAACCAGAGCGTGACACGTGTCACCCTAGGGAGAGCCCAAAGTGGACCTACCAGGGCTAGACACGTGGCAGGCAGATACCTTATATGGAATTGGCAGCCTAAAAGGCCCAATTCCCTAGACTTCCCAAAAACAGCGCAGCCCATTAGTCCTAGGTTTCCGTAACCTAGGACAGAGGCACAAATCCCAATGACCCTATAAATAGGGAGATTTACGCCACTTTGGGGACAACATTCAATGATTGCACATAATCAATTCTCTCAAATCAGAGAAAAACACCTGATCTCGGAATCCGAGAAGATCTCACTTTACTTTCCGCACCTTTTTACATTCTCCATACACGTTCTAACTTGATCATCGGAGGCGGAACTCCACCCAACCGGAGTCTCCGTTGTTTTGCAGGTACAGGCGCACAAAATCTAGACTTAGTGACGTAACTCTCCCGAGGGACACAGAAAACTCTGAAATATTTGGCCCCGTATGTGGGGAGAGCCTCCTAATGAAACATGGCCTACGGCCGAAGCTGAGGTCTATTCTGACCATGACAGTGATGACGACTTTGAAGTCGAAACGTATGTGGCCGCTAATGGGTCACTCAGAACCAGACGCACCCGTCCCAAGGAAAGAAGGGAACGGGGCGATGATCAAGCTGGTCTAAGTTAGTCATCCGGACAGCCGTTTGGACAACACTAGGCGGTGGAAGGCATAACCCCAGTCACTCGAGACGAACTCATGGAATTCATGACATGTTTCAAGGGGGAGATAAAGGACCAGATCAACAAGAGGACGGCTGGCTCCAATAGGGGTTAGTCGGCCAAGAAGCCTTCTCTCTCTGAGAAGAACAAGCCAATCAGGAACCAAGAGCCCACTTCGCATCCTAAATCAAAGGAGGGGAAGGGGCCCTTGATTGATCTTTCTAAGATTCGATACCCTGAGAA